AAATCATAACATGGGTGAGGGACAGAGAAATCATAACATGGGAGAGGGAAAGAGACATCATACCATGGGGGAGGGACAGAGACATCATACCATGGGGGAGGGACAGAGACATCATACCATGGGGGAGGGACAGAGAAATCATAACATGGGTGAGGGACAGATAAATCATAACATGGGAGAGGGAAAGAGACATCATACCATGGGGGAGGGACAGAGACATCATACAATGGGGGAGGGACAGAGAAATCATACCACGGGGGAGGGACAGAGAAATCATACAGACCCGTACACGTTCGCTGTTCCACCTTGGACGCAAACGGTACAGAAGTGCTATGCAAACGGTACGGAAGTGCTACGCAAATGGTATGGAAATGCTAGGCAAATGCTACGCAAACGGTATGGAAATGGTACGCAAGTGCTACGCAAACGGTACGGAAGTGTTACGCAAACGGTACGGAAGTGCTACGGATGACGCTTACAAACGATGATTCGTTTGTGGTGACAAGAACAGGTTTTCATAAAAAGCGGAAGCATATAAAATATCTAAAACGAAACAAACATACCCACAATGTATAGGAGGAAACGTACCCGTCAGTACACTAGGTTACGAGGATCGAGGCACATAAGAATGATTTAAATTTTGCCATTTCGTTTGCATAATAGCTGAGTGTGAAACAAAAAGAAATGTCTCGTGATTTATAAAGATAAAGGTCGATCAAATATTGGTACATATAATATATCCATCACAAAGACCTGACGTACGCTAACAGATCAACGCGACACACAGATAATAATAAGTTATGGTCAGAAGTATTTCCACCTGCTTACCGAATAAACGACTAATTAATATTGATAGTAAGTAAACTTGTTACGTTTCTATTTTTTATATCGTCTTTAAAGGGGCATCACGGTGAAGTAACTTTATTTTTTGTCTTTTTTTCAAATACTACCTGAACATATCAAATGAGACTCCTTATGGAAAATAACAATCGGATTTGGCTGAAATAGATTCATAAAAATGATTAAATTTAAGAAAATCATTGGTATTTCTACCTGTCTGACCAACGTTTTGTTCAGGGATTTCCCTCTACTAGCGCATGCGCATAGCACACCATTTCTTTGTAAACAAAATGACTGGCCGTGTGAAGTAAGCGAAAGAAAAGTGTTGTACCGTGTCAGCTACGAAACGAAAAGTTGCCAAATGGTCAAAAGATAGCGCAAGGAGTACGTTACGGAATCATTATTGCAGGTGGGCAGTATTCAAAGGAGAAAATAACTGCCGTAGCAGTTAGTACGGTGCATGTATTCTTCCGGATAGCCGGTTAAGCTGAAATGGAATCGACAGAAATGCTAGCGCTGTTTATGTTATGAATAAATATCTAAAACTATTAAGCTCGCTAGTATCTTTGTCTGAGTTTGAACACAGATGAACTTAGTTCAATATGTTAATGGGCATGTATTGGAGAGAGTTTACTTTGTGTTTCTATAATTATACAGTGGTTTATGCGAAAGGAAGGGATAAGTGACTGGTTAGTTTGATTTTTCCATGAGGCCCTCCAAGGGATATAACTGTTGTGATGGCCCACGGCGTATTTTCTGGGTCACCGAGATACGTGTTATCGAAGTCCATGGATTTACATAATTTATAATATTACCAGGTTCAATAAAATGGTATGATTTAATTATATTGCTGAATTAAACAATTATTTTTGTTTTTACATGCAAGATTTAAATTAGTACTAATATGAATACCCGGCCTCCTCTGCCCCGGCAACATATAAAAAAAGATCAGAAAGGTTTGTCCCTTGGTGTACGGAAGGTGTTTAGCCACGTACCATCTGTACCGGCCACATTCTGGTACTAAATTCAATATATATTTAAATATATCTACTTTATGTTTATGCCTATTATCATTGTTGACATTTAGTTGTAAATGTATGATGGGAGAAGGCTGTGATAAATTGTAAAAACTTGTGCCCCATCCCTTGTTTAATTTTATTGGCAACAAATTCATGTTTAAAGCTAAATAAATTTAAATTCTGAATATTGGCAAGTGTGCAATTAACTTCTAATGATGAATAATTACTGTTCAATTAGTTTGAATACGGACTTAGAAATCCTATAACTTGGTTTCATAGTGCGGTAAGAAGTTGCAGTTGCCTGACGGCCCCTCTCTGGGGGCCCCTTCGGTAACCGTTTCATCTCGCTCGCACCACTTGTGTTTACTGCCGAGTCAGGTGACGTTATCGGCGCTATTTTTAGCAGGGCTTTCCCGAACAATTCAAGTGGTCAAACTGGACATTTGGAACAGACTATGAATATGGGGATAGCGTGGTAACATAAGTGGAAGTGCATACAATACATACATTCATTAAAAAAAATATGGCTTTTCACGTGATGTCCCTTTAATACTTCCATACACTTTTAGATTTTTCGTAGGATTTGGAGACCGATGATGTGCTTAATTATTAGTACATGCAAATACATGCATCGGAGATTTGAAATGTATACAAGTTATACTATGTCTATAAATTAAATTTCATTCACAGATAAACAGTTTTTTTCGTTATACATCTTTTATTTTATTATGAAAATCAGGGATGTGTAGTGGTCCACTACACATCCCTGATTGTACATGTTTATTGTTACGGGAGTTATTATTTATATTTTTTCAGTTTGAAAGGCAAGCTTGTGCATGTAGGAAACTATTATGAATAAGAAAAATAATATGTACTACATATATGTAATTTTTACATTCATGATATGTACCTCTAGTATTAATAAGAATATAGGTTTTCTTTTTCGATCATAAAAATGTAGGTATCTATACTGACTTTTCTACAGGTAAATCTTACCTGGCTGAATCCTGGTACTGGAGAAACTATGACTGTCTGGCACACCCTGAGGGGGGTGTACTACAGAGGGGATAGGGGTCTGATGTCAGATAACATAGGGACTGAGCCCAAGTCAAACTTCAATATATCTACAATATGTATTTCTCCGTTTGTACATGTACGTTTGTACCTAAACAGGCGTGGATCAAGGAGGGTGTGGGCTTAGGGCAATAGCTTCCTGATGAGGGTCCAGGGGCAATTAGTCATGGTAGAGTAGAGCAAAGTAAAAGGGTGTAGGTAGGGGAGGGGTTTATTAGCTCACCTGGTCCGAAGGACTAAGGTGAGCTTATGCCATACCGTTGCGTCCGTCGTCCGTCCGTCCTTCCGTACGTCAACAATTTCTTTAAACGACTTCTTCTTCTTAACCACTGATTGAAATTCAACTAAATTCGACTGGAAGCATCCCTAGGTGGTAGGGATTCAAAATTGTACAAAAGGTTGGGCTGACCCCCCAGGGGGCTG